TAGTTCCCTGGGTCTTCCTTTTTGCCCTTTTTAAAGATGGGGGCTATGTTTCCCTTTTTCCAGTCAGTGGGAACTTCACCAGACTGCCACAACTTTTCAAATATGATGGATAACGGCTTAGCAACTTCATCTGCCAGTTCCCTCAGGACCTGCAGTTGCATCTCATCAGGTCACATGGACTTGTGCTCCTTCACATTCCTTAGATGGTCTCGAACCTGATCTTCTCCTACAGTGGGCGGTTCTTCATTCTCCCAGTCCCTGCCTTTGCCTTCTGCGACTTGAGCTGTGCAGCTGGAGCTCTTGCCAGTGAAGATTGAGGCAAAGTTGTCATTGAATACCTCAGCCTTCTCCATATCCTGGGTAACCAGGTCTCCCGTTTCCTTCTGGAGAGTGCCCACCTTTTCACTAGTCCTCCTTTTATCACTGAGGGACCTATAGCAGCTTTTCTTGTTGCCCTTAATGTCCCTATTTAACTCTATCAGGGCTTCTGCTTTCATATCCTGATCCCTGGTTGCTCAGACAATTTCTCTGTATTCCTCCCAGGCTACCTGCCCTTTCTTCCACCCTCTGTAGGCTTCCTTTTTGTGTTTGAGTTGGTCCGGGAGTTGCTTGTTCATCCATGCAGGCCTCCTGGTGGTTTTGCCCAACTTCCTCTTTGTTTGGATACACTGCTCCTGAGCTTGGAGGAGGTGATCCTTAAATATTAACCAGATTTCCTGGGCCCTTCTTCCTTCCAGAGCTTTATCCCATGGTACTCTATCAAGCAGATCCCTGAAGAGGCCAAAGTCTGCTCTCCTGAAGTCCAGGGTAGTGATGTACATAGATAGACTGAGTAAAACAAAATTTGTGGAAATTGAACTCCAGCCTAATTTGAAGACCATAAACAGTTGGGCAAGTGGCTGGATTCAGACTAGTGTCAAAGTGAACTAGTAAACCAGAAGGTTAGTATACCATTAAAATCAATAAAGACGACAAATTATCATTTAAATTTTAATTAATTAAAGTAAGAGTCTTATCTGAAAGCAAGAGTATCCAAATAGCTATCAGAGTAAGAAAAGAGGAATCCTTTCATGAGGAGATATTCAGAACAATTGATCAAAACAATTTCATCACATGTAATTTAGTCCAAGGTAAAACATTTTTCAGCTATGTAAGCTTTTCAGCAGTCTTTTTGCCAAGAAGGTTTCCAGAGTCCAGATCCTTCTCCAACGTGGAACACACCAGAGCTCAGCAGCTGATGCACTCCCAGGGCCGGCCCTAACATTCTTCTTCCAACCACAGGTAAGCTGGAAGCAGGTCAGCTGCCAGATTCTGTGTATTTTCTGGCAAAACGTGGACAATATGCTGAGAGTCTGCTGGCTGTTTTCACTAAAGCACTAACATCTGCAGTTAGACTTGCAGGGTGGCTGAAATAGATGAAGGACACGGACCTCCTTCTGTCAGTCCAGATGTGAGAAGGAGCTGCAGTCTTGAGCGAGCAGAAGACATATTCAGATGCTTATACCGAGGGAGTACGAAAAATAACTGCCAACTCAACCTTGCAGCTCCTTGCCACCAAAAGGAATAGTTTTGCTGCCACCTTCACCTTCAGGAGGTTGGTCTCAGCATAGACTTCGCATCAACACTGGTACATTCTCATCCCCTAATGAACTGGCAGAATACTTTAATTTTTCTTTTATTTATTGGGAAGAAGGGTAGCTTCCTTCCGCTGCCAGTCCAGGAGCTGGCTCTCCCTGGACCCAGAGGAGTGCCAGTGCCAGGGATGCAATCAAGAGCACGAATGCAATTGAAGCTGTTAGGGGAAAAGTGCCTGTGAGCTCCACTCGCTTTTGGGGCAGGTAAGTTATCAGCTCACCCTAGCAATAGCATCAAGGTATGAGTGGAGGCTGAACTCTTAAACAAGAGGATGGAAAAGAAAAAACAAAAGTGGGCATCTGAAAATCCCTCTGGAAAACAACTTGCAGAAAACAAGGAAAGTACTTGGTTAATGAAAAGTGTGATTATGCAACTTCCAGTCTATTTACTAAAAACTAATTTGAGTTTTGGCTTGCCTCTCCACACATGACTATAAACATTCTGACTACACTGTTAGTCATTCAGAAACACAAAATCAGAGATTATATTCCTGAGCTCTACTAATGGGATAGTCATTCAAAGCAGCAACAGGAAGGCCATTATAATTCTTCCCCCTGCACTTTTAAACTGCAGTTAATTGAGTCTTGAGCAACTAAAATAATTTAGCAAATAAAAGAAAGCCATCAGAAAATTCTCCAGTGGGATGAAGCATTTCTTATTTTTAGAACTTAGTCATTAGGTAAATTGAAATGTTAAAGAAAGAAAAATTCAAAGTCTTAGTAAGCTAGATCTTATTATCTGCCTAACATGATTTTACTTCGACTTGGAAAGTTGATATGGCCACTGGTACTATTTTGTAGTACTGGAAATGCATTCAAAGGCAACAGCTTTGTAGGAACGTTTCCTTTTCTTTCAGAATGTGTCTCCATAGTCTAACATTTCCTGACAATTAAGTAAATTATTCAGTGGTTTATATTTAACATATAGCAGTATCGAAGACTCACTGCTTTTTGCACAGAAATCATTGCATTTCTGGCCACGCTCCGACTCAGAACTTACGAATTCAAAAGATGGTCATTTCTACTTTGAAAATGGTAAGAATTAACTTCAGAGATTAATCCCTTTCTTCCTATAGATTTCTTTCAAAGGGCTAAAAGATTAGGTTATAATTAATCATAAATGAATTGATAAATTTTTCTTACTTTGCCATTAAAAGAATAATACTTGAAATTTGTCCTGGAAGCCTGTAAATATTTTTGAAAGTCTAGATGGAAAGACTCACAGCTTCTTAATAATCCCTTTTCCAGTATGCTTTGCACATTGAATGTGGAACCTTTTCCATTGAAAATTCTTTGAAAATTTGTATTGGAGAAAAAAAATCTGGATTTCTTTTTTTCCCCCTTTAAAGTAATTACTGCTCTATTCAGGTTATTTTTCTATTAACCACAGTTGTTACAAACAACAAATTTCTTCTTAGCCCATACAAAACTTGTAACTCTATTTTGAGTCAAGAGATTGTTCTATGTAATGAGGCCATATTTTCTCAGAAGTTATAACACATCTTGAAGTTAAATCTACAGTAAAAATAGAGGATGAAAGGATTCTCCTTTCCATAATCTGAATTCTGGTATCTTTAAAACCTTATGAGTATGGAAAAATTATTAGACCACACACATATCCATATTGAACAGCCAATATATACATGGATTCAAAAATATTTAGAAGGATTCCTTTTTTTTAACATCAAAGAAAAGAACAACCAACTAAAGGAAGGCCCAACAAGAGACGCATGAAAAAGAAACTGAGCTAGGACACCAGGTGGCATTACTGACCTTCCAGTGTGTAAATTACACAAAGAAAACTTTGTAAGAGTTGTCACACACTGCCCTGTCAACACATAGGCTCCCACACAATTTAAATAGCAGCACTTGATGCTGGACAGGTTGTAGAGAATAACGCTTCTTTTCCAAAACTAGTGGATTTAGCCCCAGGGACATACATTCTAGATAAAAGTGAGAAGAATCACAGCCACTGTGGGGGGTTATAACAGCCTCTTGTATCTACTGTTTTGAATATTTGCACACTCTCTGAGATGACTGCTATGTAGAGGCAGGTGAAGCCTGCTTCCTTCCTGATACCAGCTGGAGATCGAACACTGCACAGACAAGGATACAGTTATTTCCTCCTGCAGAGGAAATGCAGTATGCCAGAATATGGGAAATCCTGCGGAAGGACAAGCTATCCATTAGATCATAGCAGTAAACCAAAAAAGCCAAACAGGCAAAAGAAGACAAGAAACTTGGAAATACAGATTCCATTTCCAACTGAAACGATGGATAAAAATTCAGCAGTTGGTACATTCGATATTTTGCCTACATTCATTTAGTATGCAATTTCACCTGCTACCAAGCAGTGTTGTGTCTTTATCAGAAAAGCCTCATTTACGAAAAAAAAAAAAAAAAAATTTGTTTCTTTAACCATTGGGAAAGGAGGGATTTATCTTTCTGTTACCAACCACGGCAATGACTATTTCCTACTTTTCCTAGCTTTCCTGAACATAAGCCTGAGTTACCGTCTTTGACAATATTTTACAGCCTGTCTGAGAAGCACTTTAAAGATCCAGGCACTCAAGTCAGTTGTTAAGCAGCAGCTTGCACAACACGTGACTACAAAAAACAAAGGCTAATGTAGAATTTAAGAATAGGAATAACTGGACAGTTTAATACAGCCAGTTTCATTTGAAAAATCTTCCTGTTAGACTTGCTATTGCTTTTATCACAATATTTGTGGAAAGCTATGTATTCTAAATACATTCAGGATACACTGCAAGCCTCCAGATATATAAGTACAAAGGACAACAAGTGTCTGGTCCTTACACCACAACATTTATAAATGGGAGAGCAATGCTTATATGAACAGACTCTACTTTAAAAAAAACATATACAAAAAGATCATTCCATACAATTTATTCTAATGTTAAGGGGCTTCATAATAAATGACGCACAAACAGGAAAGGAAAACGTCTTGATCAACAATTCAGGCACAGAATTTTGAAGGACTCTGCAAAACATGAATTTCCATAGTTCTTTTAAGGACATGCCTGAGCATGTCTAAGTAGATAGGGCTTATCACTAAGTGTTCGAGTGATTCTGTACTTGAGCAATATTTCTTTTGCAAAGAGAAAGTATTATAAACTACTAGTATCAAAATCAGTAAATATCTAAATTCTCAGTTGTGATCGTAATGTATTCTGCAACTCGGAAACATCTAGTTACAAAGACAGGGAACACTGTAACATACCACAGACAGGTAATTTATTGGCAGCTTTGTAGAAGAGATACTCCTTGATCAGCGAAATGGTTGATCACGTTAACTGGTGAAATTATGTAATGCACAGAATTTGGAATCAGCCACAGTTACCATACCTGCTGTCTCTCTCTGGGATTTCTTTAATAGCAATTCTGACTTGGTTGCTCAGATCTCGTCCTGCATACACAATGCCATAAGTTCCTTTCCCCAGAATAACTCGCTCGCCATTTTCATCATATTCATAATCATACTGCAAAGCAAGCAACAACATGAAATGAAACAGAGGGACAGGATTTATTCCATCTGACACTCATCACTAAGGCATCTAAGATGCTAGTTGCTTTCTGCAGACCATGGAGAAGGAAAGAAAAACACTTCAAGATGACAATTCTGATACTGTGCAGACATGCCTATATTTCAGCACTGACTGTACAGGAAGCACTGGTTTCCAATCCATTTCAGGTAAGTGCATAAAGCTAAGCTGGTTTGTGTGGTTACAGCTGCCTGCCTTACTCAACAGCATCTGCAATTCTGCTGGCAGGTGCTGTAAAAACAGGAGAAGACGACAGAGGGCCCTCTGTGCCAAACTGAGAACACCAGCTCCCACACAGACACAGCAAGCAAGGCAGGATACACTTCATTTGTTCCAGGTGCTCTCCTGACCTGACCACATCATCCAAAAACAGCACAACCTCAATTTTACCAGTGCCAAGGCAGCCAGCAGAGTGTCCCAATGGAGGTTAGTCAGGATTGCAGTGTGCTCGGCAGAGTTTCAGCTGAATTTGAATTTCAAAGAGTTTAAGGTCGGTCCAGCCATGGTCATTAGACAGATTATCTGATCCGTCCTCTTATGCAACACAGACATGTAATTTCACATGCTCACTCCCATGCTAAGTCCAGTAGCTTATGCCTAGAGAAAGTATTTTTTCTTTTCCTCCAGATAAAGACTGCCATCTTTTTAATAAATCGGAGAATCCACTACTACTTTTAGTGCTTCGTTTCAACAATTAAGTATTCTCATGGTAAAGTCATGCGTCTTAATCCTTTGGTGTCACTAGTTTTCATTACAATTTTCTTCAATTGATTAAAAAGACTATTAGCACATAGTAATTCTCCCTGCAAAAATACTTACCCACTGTAATCAACTCACCCACTGCTTTTCTTTTTTCTAAAATAAACAAATTAGGCACCCTAAGGTTCTCATTATAAGATATTTTTCCATCCCACAAGTCACTCTAGTGGTTTTTTTGTCTCATCTCCGATTTCGTGTGTATTATAAAACGCCAACATCGAAACTGGAACAGAGGGCTGTCTGTATTCATTATCCAGTACTGACTTTCTCAGTTCTGGATGTCTCTAGAACTTCGGGACACCAGATTTTCATGTGATAGAACATGGGCTTAGATATTCTATCCCATTCCCTGCCACCTAAAAGACAGCCTAAACACCCTAAGCACTGGGTGCTTAAAGACAGCTAAACACCCTAAGCATTGGGCATTGCGCCCAATGGCCCTGTACTCACTTTTCAACTATGTGTATGCTCAGATAGAAACCCAAGGTGAGAATACAGAGTGTAACGGCATGCCCAGGCAAGCTATAACTCAGCTAACAGGGGTGGGAGCAGAAGTAGGGCATCCTAAGCTTCAGTGTGAGTTAGTGGGCCAAGGGTATGAAGAGACTTCCAGCAGCATAGAATCATAGAATGTTTGGGTTGGAAGGGACCTCAAAGATCATCTAGTTCCAACCCCCCTGCCATGGGCAGGGACACCCTCCACTACACCAGGTTGCTCAAAGCCTCATCCAGCCTGGCCTTGAACACTTCCAGGGATGGGGCATCTACAACTTCTCTGGGCAACCTGTTCCAGTGCCTCACCATCCTCCGAGTGAAAAAATTCTTCCTTATCTCTAAATCTAAATCTTCCCTCTTTCAGTTTAAAGCCACTTCTCCTTGTCCTATCACTACACCCCCTTGTAAAAAGTCCCTCTCCAGCTTTCCTGTAGGCCCCCTATAAGTACACAGTATTCCAGGTGGGGTCTCACAAGAGTAGAGCAGAGGGGCAGAATCACCTCCCTCGACCTGCTGCCCATGCTGCTTTAGATGAAGCCCAGGATAAACATCAACATCATCAACATCATCATCTGATTTGAATCTGCCATTCATTGCCGTGCTTGCCAACAGACAGCAACCAGCAAGGACAAGCCTTCCCCACTACAATTACATCCTTACTCGCTGTGCAGACAGAGGACCTGCCACTAATGTACGTGTATGCAATTCCACTGATGCATGAAACAAACAGTCTTTAAAATGCAAACAGTTGCTAATGCTGCCTGACTATGATTACACTCTGAAGTAACTGTTACAAGAGTCACTCTGTAATAAGCATGACTGGAGAATTCCAGAATTGAGTACCTCCTCATTCCAGAATTGAGTACCTCCTCAAGCGGGTATGCTAACTGAAATACAAAAGATTTAGCTAAGCTGGTTACAAAAACCACATGCGGATGATTACAAAGAATCACTGATTTCTAAACAGTAGAGGGTAAAATTTTTTAAACAGTAACTTGTCTAGCTTCTTCCAGAGAATGAGTGAGTAATTTACTCCCTTCAGTGAAATGCTATGCAAGAAGCCCAAAATTCTTTGTATGCCAGGAGGATGTGTGGGGTGGGAGGGGGTGAGGGAAGCAAAAATACCTCTAGGGAGTCTCCATCACATTCCCCTTCCTCTGTAGTCTTCCCTATTTCATCAGTGATACTGTTCACCATGTCAAAAAACCTGTTAAAAGACAAAAAGAAAAGCAAATACATGCTTGAGACAGGACGGGGACAAAGAGAACCCTTCTCTCTAAAGTAATGAATGAACCAAAAGAGGATTCAAGTATAGAAAGTATCAGCTCAGAGTAAAAGCCTGTTTGTCAGAAAAAAAAGTATTTTTGTTTACATTGAGAATTAACAGTCAAAATTTGCAGTTTTCCTACTTCTTTTGCATACTCCTTTTATATGTGCCAGACATCCATGATGTCAGAAATTATTAATGGAATTCAGATTTCAAGATTTATGCATCAGGTGAAATTCTCATCCTATACCACCATATCTTCATGTCCAATGAAAGCATCAAAGCATCATGAGAAGTGCCTAGAGCTTCGCCTACATTTGGAGGGGTTATTGCAGTGCTGGAAGGCTAGCTTGAAGTTTTTGCTTGAATGAAAAGGGAGTCTATTTTGCCATTAAAAAAAAAAAACCCACACAGAACCATACTATTACATATGACTTTTACCCCTTTCAAAGAATGCAAATACAAATACCATGTCATGCTAAGGTATCACTCATCTTAAGTGCTCAGATATGAAAAGGAATGAATATGGTAAAACAACCTGTATGAACTAGAACGGATGAGAGGACGAGCTAGGGATTGGGCTGGAAGGTGGCCACAGTGAAGGTGGCTACATTAATATGGAGTAGCACTGTGATCTTTGGTAAAGTTGCAGCCTTTTTCAGCGCAGACACACATGAAATTTCCTCTGGGAATGCCTTCTGGATCAATTCAAGACCACAGCCATCAAGCTTATTGAGCAGAAACACAGCTTAGAGAAACTGAGACACTCCTAATTTTGTGCAACTAACCCTTGCCAAGTTTCCTGTGGGGATACTGGTACAATCTTCTTTATGTTTACATGATGCTGATGTAAAGTGTGCTTTCTCATAATCATAAACAAATTTTCAGATACAGTAACAAAAGAAATCTTGACCAGACCTCACTGTTGCCCAAAATGCTCCCACTTCAGAAAGTCCATTTTAAGTTTAGAATGCCTTGTTGGATTGGGGACAACAAACATTTACAGTAAAACTTAATATGATTAGAAAAATAATACCACAAAGTGTGTAAAAAAAATAATTAATTTTGTAATCAGATTTGTTTCTAATGTTTGTCTGAGCTTGCACTTTGACCCTTCAAACCTCATAGATCTCCTGGGTGCTGTAGCACTAAGATTTCACATGAAAGATGGTGATAACTGAGGATGTTCAGATCAACTTTCACCGTAGTTCTGAAACAGTCAGTCCCTGTTGTGCATGCAGAGACCATCTACCCCATCACAGGTTGTTTCCTTCCTGAAGTAACAAGTGTGACACACCTTCTGCAATGAAGTTCTGTGCAGAAATAGATCTGAAAGTCATCTGAGTTGTGCAGCACATACAGGAAACAGCATCGTTCTTCAAACTTCGAAATGCTGAAAGAACAGCCAAGCAGAATGTGTTACTGGAAAGATGCATTTAGACTTCTACCAGCTATGTCCAACCATACAGATCAACCCATTCAATGTGGGAAAGCACCAGATTAAATCTAAGCAGTCACAGTTTTTCCTTATTGTAAAATTACACTCTCGTATCCTCCAAAGTTTACATTCTGCTGTTTGCTATCGTTCTGCTTGCCCCCTAGTCCACATACTGCCCAAGAAAGAGTAGGAGCGAAGAAGTTAATAGGATTATTTCCATTGATCTGAGTAATTTTTGTCTTCAGTGCATTTAGATAAAGCCTTTAATTCCCACTCCTGCAGCCAGGATGAAACATCCTTTCAGGATCACATTAGAAAGCTGGACTTTGAACCCAAATTATGAGTTCTTTCCACTCTAGAAGTCAGCCACAGCTGAATCCTGAACACAAAAATTTCTGATTGGTTCCTTGTGAATTGGTACATAGATACTATGTTGGAAAAAATATTTTTAAATTAAGTCAGCATCAAAAAACGAGGTGAATGACATTACAACCCTTCCCCACCCATGCCTTTCTTCAATTTTGGTTTTCTCTGCCATAACAGGAAACAAAGATAATGAGGAAATACATACACCACTTTGTTATGGATAAATAGATGTCTCAACAGAAGAGCAAAAGAGATGCAAACTCTGCTACAGTTGTCAGTTTTCTACCCCAAATGGGTTGCAGCTCTTGCAAAGATATTCATTCACCAGAATTGTTTCATATACATGTCATTAATGTGTTCCTTATAGAAAACATTACACATTATTTAAAATAGCTCTTTCTGTAACTTTGTCACATGTTGAGTGCCAGGTGTCAAGCTGATGCAGTATAATTGATTTTTACTATTTTAGAAAAAGGAATAAAATAAAGATGGCTAGAGGTGTTATAAGGGAATATAACGCAGTATTCAAGAAACCAAGACAAAAATTAAATCTCCTTATCAACATTCTTAAGACACTGGATGAAATCCACAGTCTTAGTGAAATCAACCTATTTTAGCTGGATCAAGATAGTTGTGTTTTTAATTAATTTATAGCACAATAAAGTAGAACAGTATTCTATGCTGTGCGAAAGGATCGATGATTTGATTAACATAATATTTTTTCTTTAAATATCAGGAAATACTTGTAATTTTCAGCCTTTAATAGGTGTCTAAGGTTGTCTGCTCCTTGCTACCTTTTATGATTCCTCTATTGTAGAGCCCTGTAACTTTTGATAAACAAATGGTTCTTTAGACAAGCTGGGGGGGGCCTGCCTTTCATAAAGGTACTTCTGAGAAGAGTAGGCTGCATTATAGGAATATTTGTCTTTGGGTGCAGTGACTCATTTAGTAATTTTTCCTAACCTAAAAATAAGTGTTAAGTAATGTACACATCTGGGAAGACAGTCACTGTCCCCAGTTCATAAACTAACTTTTGATTCAAGTTTTTCAAACATATAGGTAAACTCTCCAGCTATGGAGTAACTGATATTAACAGAATTACTCGTTTATTTCAAGTTCCATGCACGTTTAAACATTTTACTGATTAAATTGCCAGTTTAAACCTGATGTGCACAGAAGCCACTGACACAGCAGTGAGTAAAAGGGTAAGAATGTGGAGTGTACACAGAGGGCAGGCAAATTCATAAATATTTAAGGCCTTTAAGTGAGCATTTACATTGCTTATACATTGCTTCCCCTCTCTGAAAAAAAAAGCTGTTAAAGTGAAAAAAATGAAGACTGAAAAATACCAAGTTATAAAAAGAGGCAGGATAATTTGCTCAGGAAACACCTCATTCTGACAGTTTCCAAGCACACGTAGTACCCACTGACTTCTACAACAGCAGAACAGGGGCTGAGTTTGTGAAACTCCGAAGAAAATACGGAAGCACAATGCAGCGTGCCCAGCTCGTGTGTGTCCAGAACTCCCCTTAGTCAATGGGAAATACTGAAATGCTGTGACTACTGCTTACTAACACTTCCAGATGAAGCAGCAGATAAACTGGCAGCAACCACCGAAAAGCAGCTCGGTGGAATTTTTGTCTGTTTCCTCGAAGTACAGCAGTATAGACACCTCTCATTGTCATAATTAAGTAGTCCGACGAGATCCCAAGCTTTGAGAACTTGGGATGGAAGATGAAGATCCTTGTTGTCAATTCTGAAGCTACGAAGAAAACTGGATGCGGATCAGAATCCAGATTTTTCACTGTTTCTAACACTGCATTCATCAGCATGACCTCTGAGGCACTCTCCCGCAGAAATGACACAAGTAGCAGTTATTTCATAACCCAAGGCTTAGCCCAAACACTGAGACAAAGCCAACTTGTACTTAGCAACTTCAGTCTGCTACCTCATTTTTTATTTAAAAAAAAAATAACTTGTCCAGAGCAGTTGTGGATGCCCCATCCCTGGAAGTGTTCAAGGCCAGGTTGGATGAGGCTTTGGGCGACCTGGTGTAGTGGTGGGTTTCCCTGCCCATGGCAGGGGGGTTGGAACTAGATGATCTTTAAGGTCCCTTCCAACCCTAACCATTCTATGATTCTATGATTTTCAAATTAGAAAAATCAAGATGATATCTTCTTGCTCATATGATATCAGCTTTGCAGAACACCAGAGACTTTTCCAGATAACCTAAGATGCAAAGCACCTTGGGGTAGCAGCCACGTTCCAAAAGCTCTGATGAAGCCTTTAAGAGTACTTTTTGGCCTGATTCAATAATAACCACTTCTGTTAAAGAGGTCAAGAAGGCATCTGACAAACGCAGAGTTATTTACATCGGCGCATGAACCGCTAATCAAGGAGTTTGTTAAGATAAAAACCCAATTACTATGACTGCCTGCATAAAGAGTGTGCTTTAGCACGATGCTGCTCAGAGAGCTTTATATACTTTCCAAGTCCCTTTGCAATTCTTGAGAGCTGAACTCTATTACTCATGAAATACGACGCTGATTACACCGGCTGATACACAGCACACAGAAGAAGTGACCCCTCAGTTACTTCCTTGAAGTATTTACTAAAAACAGTAGCCATTTCAATGCCAGATGTCTCTTCAGACCTGCTGTCTCCTTATGTAAGGCAGTAAATATTTATGGAGGTCTTTGCTGAATAAGCCTCCAAGAGCTACAAAGACCTGCCTTGTACTTAAGGCTGCATCTCTAAAGCCGGCTCTTACTGGTTTAGAAAGGTTGAGAATCTTCATAAAGCTGGGAACTCCCCCTTCCTAGACTGCTTTAGGTCTAGGAGCTTCAAGAGAGCCAGAAATAGTCTGGATACAAAAATAGATTAGAAGCAAGCCTGGTTCTGAAGGCTGTCCCACTCCAAAGAATACCTGCCTTCATAAAACCAGGAAAAAATTAATCACTGAAAAAATTAAGTGATCAGAAGCTTGCATGTATTTGGAAGAAAAAAAATAAAAAAAAAAAAAGAAAAGAAGAAGAAAAGGCTTATTCAGTTTTATAATTGCATAAGATAAAGATTTCCCCCTGCAGCTCCTCATGGAGTCAGCCAGAGAGTTTTCTAAGAATTCACAGCGACTCTTGGCTCACTGTAAAGTCATTTTGGACATCTGTTCAGATGAACAGATTGAAAAACTCAATTGACAAATTAAATAACAATTGACAGTTTAAATAACAAATGCAGGAGGATATACCAGAAACTGTACTGTCTCCCAATAAGGGGGAGGGGAAGGGAAAAAAAAAAAAAAAGACCATACTTTTTCTTTTTTTAGAAGCACACAAAAACATACTGTAGCCAAAACCCAAACCAGACTGAACTAAGCATATCATTGCAATTTTTGCCTAAAATAAACTGAATCCCACAGGATTGAATTTCTGTGCCTACTGATAGTTTGGTTTTTTAAGTTACTTTTTGGAAGGAAAAAGAATCATCCATCTGTGCAATAACACACTGCAGACATAGCAACAGCTTTGTGCGTATGGAACAGTTATTATTAGAACAGAGCAATGACTATTCAAAAAAAAGTAAGAGTTCTGAACTTCTTGTTTTTTTGAAATTACACTAAAAGCAAACACCGAAGTGGAAAGCTGCAGGATGCCAAAGTATAGATAAATTCTAGGAGGGGGGGAAGAAAAAAAAAAAGAGACTATGACAAAGAACTGATCCAAAGAGGTCTCAGCAGTGGTAGGACACCACTTTCTTATTATCAGAAGATAGAAATTGCAAGGCTGGACCCTGCCAAACTACATTCAACCTGGGCTAGCAGAGCAGACGCACTAGCTAGATTCAGCTGTTCATTACAGACAGTATGGCACACAGTCCAGTAAAGAATTCTCCCTAGAAGTCATCTCTCTAGTAGACAGAAAACATCTCGTTGAAATCAAGCAAAGAGATGGCAAAATTTCCTCCTTCATTATTATCTCCCAAAGAGGGGAGCATATTGAAGAAAAAGTAGCCTTGAACATGTAACATCATTCTCTTTTAATCTTTGGGAGGTTAGGATTTGTGGTTATTTTTGGGTTTTTTTTTTCCCTTCCTCCTTCTTCTATTAACTCCCTTTTCTGTTCTCTCAATTTCAAATTTTCAGTCTGTGGTCTAGCTATCACTGCAGCAACAGACTCCTCTCCTTACGGGCCTTCTCCAAAAGTTTTGCTGCCATACTCATAAACAGACATAGAATCAAAAAACTCTCAAACATACACGTTCACACCAAAACCCAACAACAGGTAAGCAACTAGGACACTGCAAGACACTCTGATCTTGTCACTTCCTCACATCCTCACGCTCCGCATCCACATGTTACTCCCTGGCTTACAAATTCTGTGCACTGAGCAGCTCCTGGCTGCGACACAACGCAGGTAAAATGATACAAAACATTGACAGTTATTTTAATTCAATCTTAATTAGCATAAAGTGATTATCAACTTTTAGGAAATAGTTCTTTAATTCAACAGGCTATGTTTGCTAATTTTTACATATGAACTCTGCAAGAGGTCATTTCTGAATCCAGAGTAAAACTCCTGGGGGTCCTGCAATGCTCTGTTCCAATTCTGTGTCTGTTACTCCACCAAAGTCCACAGCAGCAGCTTAATGTAATACTTATTCAATTCCTCTTTTCGTTTCAAAATATGGAAGGGAGACAACTTACCTTACTCCCCTGATAGAAGCAGCACTGAAGTTCCACTCGTGGATACCTTTCTGTAACACGCAGAAGAAAACAAATAAATAAAACATTCCTTTTTACGAATGAAGCACCAGTAGGCATATCTTCTAGCCTGAAACTCAAGAGATGAAAAGAGAAACATTTGAATCATAACAGCCTATTAAATTTTAACAGTTATTTTTCAGGGCTTTTTGTTTGTTTTTTTTTTTTCACCCAAAACCAAAGCAACAGAAGTTTTACATAGAAGTTTCTCTGTTTCTTCCCTGTGTACTCTGCTAACACAATATGCTATTTTAGAAAGCATGCAGAACAGCAGATCAGAAGGGTTGGCAGTATAGCCTGGTCTGCATGCTGAACTTGAGGCCACCTGCAACCCTTTGGAAAGTGGGGGAAAAAAAATTTTAAAATTCCACCTCTGAGAATGACAAGAGCCTGCTCTGCACGCTCCATGCCTGAGTGTATGGGAAGACCAGGAAGAGCATGCTACAAGCAGGAAGTCTGACAACGGAGAGCAAAGTGGGAAATTCTTGGGAAGTAGGAGGAAACGCCCAGGGAAGGAGCAAGTCTGAAGGCCAAGTGTCCAAAGAAACAGAAAGGAGACTATTTCTCTAGGAATCCAGAAGAGAGCAGTAAGAATGTACCAAAGCCCCTAAGAGTTGCTGGAGTAATAAACAAGGTTGGAAGAAAGAAGCCACCCTATGAAAACACGAAGGGTCAGACCTCACTTATTTTCAGATCTTTTAAATTTACATTTGTTACATTCAGCAGAACTGAGTTCTCTCTGTAGACAGTCGTACTGCTCTATGTTTATGTTCTAATACAGCCTTACTGTAGGAAACAGAAGCCTTTTGTATCTTATGAAAATATTCTCCTTTCAGGAAAAGGTGGAACTACACCACCTCAAAGTCCTGGCAACCTTGGGATCCCATCACAATGAGCAACATATTTGAAGAAACTCTGCTTTCTAGAGCTGAATTTCATTTGGCATTTTAGTGACCTGAGCAATTAAAAGGCACACAGAGACATTTCTTGCTGGGAGGTAATTTATAGCATCAGAGCATAGTGTCAAACACAACCATAATCAAATGTATTCCAAAAGAGACATGAGAATGTGTAACATAGAGAACGTTTCATCAATAGTGAAATACACAGAAGTCAGAACAGATCCACTGCCAAAATAGTTGCACAATGTGCAGCAAACAACAGAGGAAATTACTCTCCCAGCTCTAACGGCTTTCTTTAAGGCTTCCTACATCAATTTTCTCCTCCTCTAATTCTTTCCTTCCTGCTCAAATCACATTAAAGGTTGTGATGCTAATATAAAATGCCTAACACAACATAGCAAAAATACAAGCAAACATCTTTCTTGCAGCACAAGCTTCACGCTATCATAATTGTAAAGTACAAAGCAGTAACTCCAATATTTCTTCCATGTTAAATGGGGGGAAGGGTTTCTCCAGTGGGGTACAGGGACAGGAGAATAGCCTGATTAACTCCAATATTTCTTCCATGTTAAATGGGGTAAGGGTTTCTCCAGTGGTGTACAGGGACAGGAGAATAGCCTGACACTAAGAAAAGGTGGGACTGCCTCTTGAAATGGAGGTACCAGCTGACACTAGTACGAAGTGTTTGTGAAACTACTATTTGAGTTGCCTGGTTCTCTTGCATGAAGAAAGATGACCGACTCGATCGCTCTGCTAATAAGGAGGGTGTATTTGCACTGTCTCTTACTCCTCCCTCCACGTACAAACTCTGCCACTTTCCAATATTCCACGCTTGGAAACTCTCTTCAGAGCTTAGCTATTGGTACTTGTCCAATTCCCACTATTGGGAATAATCTAAAATCTAAATAAGTTAAAATATACGTCCTGACAGGCAGAAACACTCAAGTCTAACAAGAAGCCTTAGTATTGTGAGTTTTACCTGTCATCTACTTGCAACTAATCTCTTGCAGATTCATACATCTTTTCCTTACCACACGATGTTCTCAGGCAATGAAATAATATAAAAGTTATATCCCTCATGATCTTGCCAAGTTTTGAATACATTGGAGTAAACATATCAGGCGTGCTGTCCAAATTCAGCATCTGTTCTTCGGTTAGGCAAAAAAAAAACAACCCAACCACCCAAAACAAAACTCAAAACGGATTCAGAAGCCAAGTGAAACAGAGACAGGCTGTTCTATTTCAAACTTGCAAGCACCACTGCTGCATTCCTCTAACCCCACACGGAAAGGGCTGCTAAAATTAGGGAACTGCAAGGCAAAGGTAACATCATTCTACAAAACAGAATGCTGTATAGTAATGCCATATATAACATAATGATAATTCATTGATATAGGCAAACATTTCGGTTTGTGCTCTAAATATCTATTTCAGCCACTGTCCGTTTACATTTTCTCATGAACTCGCAACAAAAATTCCAAGCAGTATGGCCTCACAGATTCTGCACGCAGAAATGTTTCTCCTTGAGCAGACTAGAAGCATGAACGCTGAAGGATGGATTGTGTGGAAAACAGGCCTTCACTGTCCCATCCTGCAGGCAAACAAAACGCTGCCAGGGAAGAATGAATAGTGCCAGTTCTTACAAAGTGCACCATCCCAGTGCTGTGCCTCCAGCTGACTCAGCCTCCGTTCACTCTTCACATACTCCCCCCCAATGTTTTCGTCCTCCTCTGAGATTCTACGATGTCCTCCCTGTCTTCACTCTCACCAACATCTTGCTTCCCCAGCATTCCATAATGCAATAACCATTCTAGCTTTTCCTCTCCCCTTGCACCTCCAGATTTTCTAAGCTTCTTTCCAAATACGTCTGGCTATCTCATACCTTGACATATGGACTTCCCAGCTTTTTCAGTTTCTAGACCTTCTGAGCATCTATCTATCCATCTATCTATCCTTCTGCCAAATACTTTTTTGGCTTTTGATTGATTCCACTCCTATTTTAAGACAGTCCCTATTGTTTTCTTACTAAAGGTAAATAATCCACAGCTGACAAGCAATCCTGCAATTACAGGAAGAAGATACTTCTGTTTATATAAGTAATTTTAAGCTACATTATTTGTATGTTGGCAGTATATTGTAAATTACTTATAAAATCTTAAGCAACAGACTTCTTGTATATTATACACTGGTTTAAAACAACCTGAAAGAAGATGCAAGTTATTTTTAAAAACGGTGGACACAAAAGATCCACTGAACAACAGACAAGCTCAAAGAAAAAATTAAGAATGCCACATTAAAAATAAAAAAATAAAAAAATGCACAGCAACATATGTCCACAGCATATTCCTGTGTGTTACTAAAACACTTTTCTTCTTTGCAGAATCCATCATTAGAGGCAACTGTTTATATGTTATATTCCTTATGTACCACAAAGACTTAAATTGTGAAAAAAGTTACAACTACAGACAATATCATGGTATACCTTGTCATCAGGCAGCACATGCCAGATAGATACAGTCTTCTCCTCAGCTTCACTGTTGATGGAGAGGTACGAAGGCTGGTAGATTTTTGTTGGTTCTAATATTAAAACCTTGTAGAAAAAATAATTTTTAAGAGTTAGTACAAAATATGTAAAACTTTTTACAGTATTAAAATTTGTTGAAACTATTTCTGTAGTCATACCATAACAGGAAAAACAAGAGAAACAGAACTCAAGGTAAAATTTTAGGTACTGGGCAAGTTTGGTACAGCTCACAGTAATTTAATCTTAAAAAAAAAACCAAACGGCCAATTTTAATTTAGATTTTTATGTAAGGCTGTTATGCATCAATTGGTAGCACATACGATAATTTTCCAAATGATTTCTCTGACAACTACCAGATTTTGAAATCTTTTTGTCACAATTCCTTCTCTTGCAATGCCATTCAACAACGTCCATCTCCCACGAGGACAGGGTTCGTGGCATACTTTTACCACCTTTTGACAAAAGCACATTTGGATAAATCGGAAAAACATATCAACCTACAGCTAGACTGAACTGCTTTGGATTTAGACCGCTGTGAACTGTAGCCACTAGATCAAATTATTTTCTCAAAAGCAACAAGCACCACTGCAAGAGGCTGACAGCTAAAGATTACAGAAAATTTCCTGGAATAAGTGAAAGAAAAACCAGAATCTTCAAGTAAAAGATAGATTAAATCATAGAATAATAGAATCATAGAATGGTTCGGGTTGGAAGGGACCTCAAAGATCATGTAGTTCCAACCCCCCTGCCATAGGCAGGGAAATCCTCCACTACACCAGGTTGCCCAAAGCCTCATCCAACCTGGCCTTGAACACTTCCAGGGATGGGGCAGCCACAACTTCTCTGGGCTCGTTCCAGCACCTCCATGTCCTTCTTGTGTTGGGGACTCCAGAGCTGAACACAGTATGCCAAGTGAGCAGGTGGGGCAGAATCCCCTCTCTCGACCTGCAGGTCACGCTGCTTTTGATGCAGCCCAGGATATGATTGGCTTTCTGGTGGTCTGTAGCAGACCCTACTACTACTATTGACCCCATGTGCGACCAATTAAAACTCATCTAATATGCAGGTCAAATACGTTTCTTCTGGACAAGCAGTTGATTGTCTAGCAATCTAAAAACAAGCTGTGTTTTGTGTTCCTTTCCTTCATGTCACAATTTATTTAAAAAACTCCAAAAACCAACAACAAAAAAATCACTTACTGGAAATCGAACTACAGACACATCTGTCTTTGTGGCTTCAACAAGGAAGTCCATCCAGAAGTCCACGAGTTCCTGTTTGGCCGTATGTTCTGGAGTCAGTTTCTTAAAATGCTGATATATCAAAATAGTCTCTACAATAGACTTCAGGTACCTGTGATCATTCAAGCATACATAGATCGTAAATTTAAAACAATTTGTAAACAATATTGTCTCTGTGTTTAATCACAACTGAAGCATTCACCATCACAACACCAAGGCAGCTGGTAAGATTTCAGTTCTCTAGGATTGCTTTGAACAACAGCAATTCCCCATGTAGAACTGGAAATGTAACTGCTGTGTTAGTGACCTGAAGTACAAATGAGTTCTGGGACACTCCTTCCTGCATACATTCCTGATCCCATATACTATTTCCTACCCTAAACCATGAAAGCTTCATGAAATAGCTAAGTCCTCTACCTATGGACCAAAGTGAGCCCATGTCAAACTTGTTTCAGTAGCAACCAACCTCAAAAACTCAGGCAAAAGTCCACTAGTTTAACTCTCTACTCTGTTCTGTCTTTTGTATTGTATCTGCATTGGTTGTTGTTTAACAGATTTCTAAAACATGATGCTTCTGGAACTGATTTTCCTATAAAGACAGCAACAGCTACACTAAGGAGCCTTTTGGCATCGCTAGAGAAGGACAACGGCAGCGCTGAAGATCTGCCCTAAACGCAGCTCTCATCCCTCTCTCATCCAGTTCTACCTTCTGGGGCTTCTCATTACATTGCTTCCTCTTGGCATTTTGAAAAAAAAGTTGTAAACATAATCTTATGCAATTTTTACGAATTCGACACCAACGAGATACACACGCTCAAAGAGGATTTATCACTGCTATCACTTTATTGCAATTAGACTATTCCTGGAAAGTTTGTTTCCAGGTTTATGCCAAGAAGGTATAATGTAATTTCAGAGAGCCTTTTGGGAACAGTTCCATAGTGGTGCGTTTTCTAATCATCCTGCTTAGGCCAAGGGGATATCCAGCTTAAAGTACTGTATCTACTTCCCCACACCAAGCGGGCTCTGCTGAACAGCAGGCAACAGACTGGGAAGGAATTGCTCACAGGAGAAATCCTTCCTGAAGCGCAAATAAGTGTGCTGCATTTTCAGAGTTTAATCCACAGACTTAAACCCCAAAAGCACTGGTGCATAAAAGCCTGACAATCAGGCATTCATAAACTCCAGAAAACTACACCAGGAGACTTCCAGGGAGTGCTATGCAGATTCTCAGTAATACATGCACACAGTAAAAATGGAAAACCTTGCAGATAACTACCCTGTAAACAGCATTTATAAAATATTTGCTCAGAAAATTAGAGCTCTTCATTTTGACACTTTCCTATTTTACATCGATACAGAAGTTCAGCATTTCCATATTTTAGCACGCATACATACACTCCCCTCTGATCAGCTTTTGGAGACACTTTCCAGACTTTATCAAAGATGAAAATACATAGGCTGATATATACACTCTTCCAATTGGCAGTGACTACTTTTTTAGTCAGAAAGGAATCTTGGTTCTCCATATCTAACAGGATCTCAGCCCTTGATGAGTAGGTGACTGGTCCTTACTCGCTGCCTATATCCAACACCGAATAGGTGCCAGGAGCCTGCTGTCAGAGTACACATCTCCTGGTCTTTGTGTAACAGACGTGGAGCCTACAGGGTTGTCTTTAACCCTATATTTCATATATTTCATAGATTTCTAGGTTGGAAAAGACCTTAGAGATCATCCAGTCCAACCGTCCCTAATCCCCATTAAACCATATCCCTAAGTAGTTCATCCACCCTATTCTTAAACACATCCAGGGATGGGGACTCAACCACCTCCATGGACAGCCTTTTCCAGTGGCTGACAACCCTATATTTATAACCTTTCTGTTAATTGGACTTTAATCTGCACTATTCTCAATCATAATGAGATGCAACTTGCACCACACAGCTCATTTGTGTCCAAGTTCCTAAAACAGCTGGTAGTCTAAAACAGCTGGTAGGGGCAATAACCAGGTCAGCGTTCCAAGGTATCTCCATGCCTCTCTAGTCAAGCTGTCTGCATTCCCAGAAACTTTCAGGCAGTTATGACTAAACCCACATGCCACTACCACTTCTCTTCCGCAATATAACCAATGATGTTCAGTGCCTACAAGCAATTCCTCCCTTCCCCCTTGCCCTCAGAAAAGCCTGGAGCCAAAGGTGAATCTGCCCTTCTCAGACAAACTGAAGACTCCTATCAAATCTGTTCCTGAATAAGGGCAACAGGGGAAGAGTGTCCCTTGTCTGGGTGAAAGTGCAGTGAAACAACATACAGACAGCAAAATCTGTTAAAAAAACAAAACCAATCTCCTGTCTAACTGGAAAGCTGAAGGAGTCCAGTGTTTTAACACATAGCAACGTACGTGATCTCATTTATCACCTTACCATGCCGGTGCCTTTAGTTTAAACAGCTTTTCTGAAGCCTGGATCACTCTTATATGGTCATTAGCCAACATACTGGCCCCCAAGAAAGATCCCACTTCCCAATAGCTCTGCAGTTTCTCCAAGCTCCCCTTTTTACCAAGCAGGCTGCTGATCTTTACTCCTGTAGTAAAAAGAAGAATCGGTTACAGGAATGTATTAATGCAGTTTTAAAATAACCATTTCCCTGATTTGAAATGCATTAATTTCTTAAGTTACTGTAGCCTCTCCATCTTAATGAAGTAAGATGAAAATCATACTTACCAGTTAATGTTATATGCCTTCCAAACACCCTAAGCGGTAGCAGATTATTTTTTTTTTCCCTCCCCCTCTTCCTAAAGGCTTCTCAAGAAAGGAACTCTAAGACATCACTGTCAGGACAAGGCCAGATTACCTATGTTCTTGCATGGACCTCATCTGTAAAGGTAAATTGGGGCCTCAGGCTACACAACATAGCTGTAAAAACTTAACAGATGCTGAATAAGGCACCTATTATGTTTTTTTCCGCTTTGTTTTTTTGACTTACAAGCCCCAAGCCCCAAACTTACCTTTATAGACAAGGTCCCATGCAGAAGGAACAGATGATCCATTGGGCTTCTTCCAGCAGTGATGTTCTTTTAATTGCCGCAAGTCCTACCCCAATGAAAGACATCTATTAATATTCATAAGTCCCTCAGCAACTCAAGACTACGGAGAGCCTCAGGTTTTATTTTGACTTGCTAAGTTCTGAGAACTACAAGTTTCCCTGTGGCATTCAGGATGATTTTTAGTTCACATTAGCTGCTACACATTTATAGCTAACATGAGATATGCTACACCATCCCCTGCAAATAAAATAATCTGCAGCCTACAAAACAAGCCTCTTCACCACAGTCTTTTATTCACTTTTCCCACACTACTCCACTATGACAAGTTTCCCTCCCACATCACCTTCCATTGTCCTTGATATTAAGGCTGAGTATTCACAAGAAGTTTCAAAGCAACTGTTGATCTTTATTTTTTCCTTAACCTTCCTTAAGCAGCTAGCAGAATAAACTTCATGCTGGAAGCAGCAATCTTATCAAAATGGGTATCACGACATTAGCTACATTTCAGTCTACAAAATTCATTTTGTTTTCCGACATTGTTCACAGCTTTATGTAATCAACATCAGACAATAAAAGGTTTTAAAACATGAAACTGCATCTAAGTGGTCTACAGCCTACTTAATATCTGTATTTCACCCTTTGTGCTCTCTTGCTAACAAGAGACTGCCATGCTTGAGTAACATACAGAACATAATAATGCTTAAATCATACAAAAACATTATTTGTTTGCTTCTTGAGAAAGAAGTTTGTCTAGCTATTCCTGAAGAGAAAAAAATGCAACAGATTGTACAAAACATCTCAGATCAGACTGAGATATGATGTACATCACCTCTCTCAGTTACATACAGCAGTCACCATCTCTATAGATCAGCTCTGCAAGGCTTTAAGCTATCCCCAACACAAGAAGGACATGGAGCTAATGGAATGAGTCCAGAGGAGGCCACGAAGATGATCCGAGGGCTGGAGCACCTCTGCTATGAAGACAGGCTGAGAGAGTTGGGGCTGTTCAGCCTGGAGAAGAGAAGGCTCCGGGGTGATCTTATAGCAGCCTTCCAGTACCTAAAGGGGGCCTACAGGAAAGCTGGAGAGTGATTTTTTCCAAGGGTGTGTAGTGATAGGACAAGGGGAAATGGATTTAAACTGAAAGAGGGCAGATTTAGGTTAGACATAAGAAAGAAATTCTTTACATTGAGGGTGGTGAGGTACTGGAACAGGTTGCCCAGAGAAGTTGTGGATGCCCCATTCCTGGAGGTGTTCAAGGCCAGGTTGGATGAGGCTTTGGGCAACCTGGTGTAGTGAAGGGTGTCCCTGCCCATGGCAGGAGGGTTGGAACTAGATGATCTTTGAGGTCCCTTCCAACCCTAACCATTCTATGATTCTATGATTTTATACATATGCACATTGTCAAGAGACGCTTGAGAATGTAACCTACGCTTGTCGGTGTAGGACAGAAAGGAGAAATTTGTGTTAAATATGTTCAACTTCAATGGGGTTCTAGAAACCAAGACCTACACACTATCCACACAACATAGTAAATGGAAAAAAAAAAAAATATCTCCCAGGACCCTAGAGCAATACTACTCAGCAATCTCCTCAAAGGCTGAAGGGCTCTGCTAGAATGCCTAAAACATTTGCTTGCACACGACAGCAACGTACACGAGCAGATAGACACCTGACCTGGATGAGGGGATTGAATGTACCCTCAGTAAATTTGCGGACGACACCAAGCTGGGAGGCTGTGTCGATCTGCTCGAGGGTAGGGAGGCCCTTCAGAGGGATTTGAACAGACTGGATCGTTGGGCTGAGGCCAATGGCATGAGCTTTAATAAGGCCAAGTGCAGAGTCCTTCACTTGGGGTACAAAAACCCCAAGCATCGCTATAGGCTCGGGGAGGAGTGGCTGGGGAGCTGCCTGGCGGAGAAGGACCTGGGGGTCTTGGTTGACTACCGGCTTGATATGAGCCAGCAGTGTGCCCAGGTGGCCAAAAAGGCCAATGGGATACTGGCGTGTATCAAGAATAGTGTGACCAGCAGGAGCAGGGAAGTGATCCTGCCCCTGTACTCGGCACTGGTGAGGCCGCACCTGGAATATTGTGTCCAGTTTTGGGCCCCTCGCTTTAAGAGAGATATTGAGCTCCTGGAGGGAGTCCAAAGAAGGGCAACTAAACTGGTCAAGGGGCTGGAAAATAAAACTTATGAGGAGCGGCTGAGGGAGTTGGGGCTGTTTAGCCTGGAGAAGAGGAGGCTGAGGGGAGACCTGATTACGGCCTATAAATACTTGAGAAAAGATGGTGGGGAGGTGGGGGA